TAACAAGCATGAGAAGCGTTTGGTTGGACAGTATCTGTAAGCTTTTCTAAAATGCAGATTTCGCGGGCGAGTTGATTTCGTTACTTTGAATAGAAGGGCGTATATTCTGGCCAGCGGCCACCAAAGCCGAAGCCGTCCGCCTCCCATCGCCTCTGGGCCGCAGGCTGAGCTGAAGGTCGCGTAAGTCTCCCATCGCCTCTGGGCCGCAGGCTGAGCTGAAGGTCGCGTAAGTACACAAAAATTATGCATTCTTAAAGGTAATGTTTCGTACTTGAAGATATTGAAGCAAGCATCAAATAAGCTGAAACGAGCTCACTTCTGACTGTTGGTACACCTTTTAACAGGAAGAACTTTTCTAGAGAGCACAATTCTCTGTTTAAACAATATACTACTCAATGCGCCATAGCTTGATCACGTCTTCGTACTTTGCACAACGTTGATTGAGAGCCAATTGACGGCTGTTTTATCTAGAAGTTGCGCTCGCAAACTTCAGATACGAACGCCTCGACCTTATATTTTCCCTGGCTTTGATCACCGCATGGCTTATGAAATGACAGGATTTGAGTGTCGTTATTATGACCATGATTGCCAAGATGACTTTCAAATACTGTCCCCGAAATTCTCTCCCCATTTTCGCTGGCTCGTTGTTCAGAAACTAGAGTGCCTTAGGTCATAAAAAGGACAGGGTTGTGAACAACACTGAACACCTTGTCTACCCGTATTCGTAACCCTTACCTGTGCATGAATTTTCTTCAACTTATCAACCATCCATTATGGTCAAGAAATTCGTCAATAAATTGAAGTATTAAGTGCTCTAAGGCAAACTGGTTTACCCCTAACCGAGCTGCTCCATTATTCCATGTAATTTGTCGACAAACTTTGAGGCCAATTCTGTGCCGTTATTAAAAGTTGAACCTAAGCAATGAACATAATCACCGAAAGCATAATCACCGAAATTAAACTGTCAACATTTCACATAAAAAACAGTGTTAAAGAGAGTGAAATGTTTCCTTAATGATAAATGTCATTAATTAGCATGTGATGTTTTCTTCTTCACACTGACTCTTGCCTCATCTTGACGCCTTGCATGACACAATGTCTCCAAGCCAACACAATATATCCTTGTAAGAAGATGGGATATCTAACCCCTTAACCCAACTGCCACTGTAATTCGTTCTCATAACTTCCTCAAGCGACGAGACTTGCAACTTAACTCAAACGCTTTTACAAATTTAAGTTCTGGATGTTGTGACGTTTGAGCGAGCCGTCCAACCTTTGAACCTGATACATTAGAGCTAAGTATGGCGTTGAGTCCCTATTCGACAATGTCCTGATCAGCACTATTTTCGCAGCTCTTGGTGGTCGCCTCTCCACACGAGTTTCATAAGAAGCTAACCGACAACAGCTTCAACTTTTAGCTGCTAATGCTGGACCTCAACGGCATACCAACTGTTTTTTCTCTCCCCGTCCTCATGAAGCCATAATTATTTAAATCGAAAGCTAAGCCGGAAACGTCCCCGAAATCTTCTGCTGACTATGAACGTACTCGGGCGCTATGAGATCGTTGATACGAATTGCAGCATCATCCCCGAACTAAGATAGAATGATTGTGACATCCTCCATCGGATTCCTGACATACTAGGGTATCCTCCCGACATCCTCCATTGGGTTCCTCGAGTATCAGTGCTTGTTTGAATTTTAACGCTCAAATTTGAACAACGGGCGCGAAAATTGATGCAGAAACTGTTCATCCCTGCTGAAAACCTCTCGAACACACAACCCAAGCTAAGGTATGCCCATTATCGCTTGTGGCTAGTTTTGTGCCATTATTCAAAAGTTGAACCTGAGCAATGAAATTATCACCGAAATTAAACTGTCAACATTCCACATACAAACCAGTGTTCAAGGGAGTGACATACTTCCTTAATGATAAATGCTATTCATAAGCATCTAATGTTTTGTTCTCAACACTTCATCACAATTATATATATATATATATATATATATATATATATATATATATGAGCTACAGAAAGTTCTCAACTTCACGCCGATACACCTGTTTCTAGTACCACCCGCTTGGCCTTCGGATACAATTTTAAGCATGGTTCGCGCGAGCCGGTTGACAAACACCTGAGCGCTTATTTTGTACACTACATCCAAGGGATATACAGGACGTTAGGTCTTCAGCAGAGTCCAAACACCCTTCTTGGGGCAGGCGCCGCGGATGGGGATGCGCACAGCGAACTGGGATACCACGCGCGTTGTTCTCGCAACAACGTCTGTTTCCGCGCAGCCTACAGCGGGCCATATTCCGCGGCGATTTTAAAAAAGGGCACCGCCGTCCACAACCATGTCGACTTCTGGCGTCAGCATTCACTTGGGGATTTGTTGACGTTGGGTGCTCCAACGCCTCGCAGCTGTTCTTAGGCGGCTTCACCATGCTCTAGCTGCAGGGACTTGCCGTCAATTATTACGAATATCCCAGACGAACGTACCCATGGCTTGCGCTGTAGTGCATGCGACCAGCGGCACAGATGGTCCCCCGCGTCTGTCATCACGATTGTCTCATCTCTGATGCATCAACCGGAGTCGACCTCGTGTCGCTGCGACGCATAGTCACCTGTCGCTGCGACACATAGTCGTCAAGGTTGCCACCGGCCTCGGCCGCATCTGGGCAGGCTTTTAGCAGCGAACACCTGCAACGTCTCTCATGTTATCGATTCGGTGGGCTGCACTTTGTTCAGGTCGCAATGCGACGAAAAGTCACGGCCGATCAAGCAGATGCCATGTGAAGACCTTATAAATTATACAGAACACCGTGCCATGCATGGCGTTCTTGTCGCTGACGGCTGCATGCTGATGCAATCAATGTTTACAATGGCCTTGTGTTTAGAAAACGTGATGGCTGCACCATACCATGCGTTCATCTCGGGCTGCTGAAGCGATTTGTTTCTCTTGATATGCAGACAAGACTCACTCAACATACGATCTCGTCGCAGTCCGGAGAGCGACGACAGGCGCATGCATGTGCCCAGAGCGTGCGTGGGACCGCGTGCTTCGATTGACCCAGCCGAGTGTAGGCCTGAGGTACCCTGCGATCCGTGCGATGTTCGGCGGAGAAAAAAAAAACGCAAGCATTAAGCATGCTTGTTCGACATGCCCAACCGCTGAGACCAGCGAATATTACGAAAACTAATTAATGTTGTTGACTTGGTATGCTCGTTAACTTGAATTCGCGAAAGAGCTCAGTCACAGCATGTAGGTACTCGCGTTGTGTGAGATCGAAGGCCTGCCGAACAAGCCTTTCAAACCGGAGGACGATACGTGGCGGACGGCCGCGACAGGCTTCATCTGCAAGCTCAGGTCTGCTTTCTTCAGGTCGCTACCAGATATTCTCCGCAGCCTTCGTCCAAACACAGCAGCGACGTCCTGACATTGAGCGCATTAAAGTGCAATAGACTGCGATGACATTTCCTGCGTTCCGAGCTGAACTTATCTGGAGGAGCAAACCAATGCAAGGCCGACCTATAAAGTATAGTCAACTAAATTTCAATTCATTTCTATTCTGTTACTTCAATATAACATGTATGGAAAACAAAGGTGGGAAATTGTCAACATCATTCGTCAGTTCCAACCTTGAATATCAACGTTCCCATCCAGCACCGCACGTGCGGGAGACTAGGGTACACCATGCTCGTCACTTCCCTCCCTGCATTGGAATGATCAGCGATCTCCGGGTTTTCGGGTGATCCCGGGTGAGGCTATGGGTGAGGGTATGAAAGGGTCGAATCAATTGTGCCACGTTACCGCCGCTCGTGTGATGTATCTCGTACTTGCCTCTGATGCGATGAGCTGCTTTGCGTTCTCAGCGCACCTGAGGCGGCTGGATTTCAGCAATTTCAAATGTTCTTAATAGTTTAATGAAAGGTTCTGAACTTTCCAAAAATCGTTTCGAATGACAGATGTCAAAGGTCGCGGCACACTCGCTCGATTTCAAGAATTATTGCTTTTTCGAAACAACTTTCCTTTTAGTTACATTTGTTTTTCAAAGTTCGTGCTCAGAAAGGGCTTTAGGAGAGGCAAGTATGATACAAGCATTTCTTTTACGGAGGCCTCTTTTCCTGTAGCGTTAAGGTGGAAAACAAAGCCCAAAATGGCGATCTATCAGCCGACCGAGATTTGTTGGGGTTAAAATGCTGCCTTTCTCAACTCTAATTTTCTGTCGCCCCACTATCTAGCGTATTTGCGCCCGCGGTTCAGCTACATCTGATTACACATACCGCCCAAGAAGACATCAGCAGCCTTTGATACAGAGCCGTGCTGGGAGCACATAACGCTGGTTGAAGCGAAGCTAGACTGCGCCTAAGGCGCGAGCGCGTCAGTCAGTCGGTGTCAATCTGTATCAGTGTCGGTGTCAGTGTCAGTGCGGGACGCGTATGCAGCGAGGACGTGCGCAGGGACGGGATCTGGCAATACCTCAGTGACTACCGTTACGGCGAGTACCGTCTCCGTCTGAGGGCTCCGCACTTCAGTTCCACATTCACATTGTCAAGAGAGCTTCGTGCTGTGATCAGCTGAAGTTTACGGCATTCGGTCGTTATTATCACGTAATGCTATAGGCCATATATATGCATATATATATATATATATATATATATATATATATATATATATATCATGCCGTAATATTTTATATAACATCATATATTATTCAACTTAGCTAGATTATTCACAACATTTATCACATTTAAGAAACTGTGTTTCAAATTTTCATATCACATCAACTTCAAATTCGCGTTGAAGTTTACGGCTGCTGTTCTTTTCGTGATGACGAATTCACGCCACGTTAGTCTCTTACGAAACTTTTCCCATAGTCGTAACCGCAGGCTCCATATCTTCGATCATTGCGCGGATTCAGAACTTTGCCCAGCGCCCAGACTCCGCAGTCAGCATGTCCCTGCGACGTCCCGTGGTCCCACGTGGCGCCAGACACCAGCCACGGTACACGTTCCGTTTATTTCGCCGTCCTAGACCCCGCTGGCGACAACAAAACACCAAGATCGGCCAACCGTCGGCGCCGCGTCACTCCCGACGAACGCGACGAGCGCGCCGCGCCGGGTCCGACCGCGGCCCGGCGCCCGCCCTACAGTGGCACGCTCACACGCGCTTCCACACTCGCACACACGCGCACAGGAAAGCCCTACATATAGGCCGGCTGACGCGGACGCGGTGGCGACGCGCCGTCGCCGTCCGCCCTCCACTGTATTATCGTTTGTATGACCGGCACGCCGTCTCCAAGCCAAGAGATCGCTCGCGCCGGGACCGGCGCTCGGAACGGAACGGAACGGAACGGAACGGAACGGAACGCAGCGACACGCACCAATATGTAGGGTTTATGCTGGCTTTCTCAGGGACGCATGGCTCTACCAAGAATGAGATAAAATGACGCGGAACGGCTCGCGGCACAGTCGAGCGCGCAAAACTGAAAATCGCGCGCCAGCCGCTTGGACCTCCGGTGGACGCGGCCGTGTGCTGCCCCCAACGGCGGCAGCACCTAACACATTGCACCGGTTACACAACGCATTCAGTCTGTAAAACGGACGCCTAACCTCACGCGGCGTCAGGGGCGGCGATACGAAACGGTTTAGTGGGTCAAAAAGCAGGACTACGGGTGTTAGTGTCAGCACAGCTAGGCGCGTCATCCAAACCCGCGGAGCAACCGAGAAAAAAAAAACGTTCGGAGTCGCCAGGACGTCCGCCAGATAAAACGACACAACCCTCGCCGCTCACCTCCTGCCGCGGGCAGCGCCACAGAGACGAGTTCAAACGAGTCGAGGCAAGACCAGACGAGTCGAAACGAGTCGAGGCGAGTCAAGACGAGTCGAAACGTCAGCCGGCCGCTAACACCGATCGCATCCGACCCTATCACAAGCGAGGACAGACGAATCTACGCGCCGTCGTGGCGGCCCCTCCAAGAGGTCAGGTCAGGTCAGGTCGGGACGGGACAGGTCGGGTCGGGTTGGCCGGACGATGGCGGCCTTCGCGACCTCGGGTCGGGTCCGTCACCGGCCGACAGCGCCTCTCTACCGGGCGGGCCCCACCCACGGCCTGGCGGTGCGGACCGGAGCGCACCGGCGCCCGTCGGACCCGAATCTGATCCGGATCCGTCGCCTCGTCGGGCCGGCCGGGCTGCCCGCGGGCGCCGCGACCACTGCGGGCCCCGGGTCGGAAGAGGAGGGACGGGGCCCTGATGGGGCGCTCGGTAACGGCCGCGGGGACGGGAACATTAATTTCACTCTCGATGCTCACAGGCCTGGCGCGTGCTAGCCGTTACACAACCCCGCCGCGACAGTACACCGTCGGCCTGGAAGCGCCAGCGGGTGCTGCCTTCGCTAAAACGACGCACCGCACTGGGACACTATTCCCTCTGACACCTGGCGGGCGATCACGGAAGTTCTGCTGCCTTCGCCGGCCGTCGACGTCTCTGTGGCGCGCGAGAGCACAATGGGACTAAGTTCGCGGACGTTACACAACAGTTTCTGAGCTTTTCTTGTTCACCGAACCGGAGCTGGACTTCTCATCAGAGCTTATCCTCTCGATCTGAAAACAACGTACAGGTTTACTAGACACAGAATAAAAACGGTGACGCGGTCAAAAATTACAAAGACTACGAACATAGGTACGCCTCGCGAAACGCATGCAGGGCGCGGGCAGGCAGTCATTGACAGTGAAATGAACATAACAAAAATAAAATAAAAACGCTGCAAAAATGTTATGCAGAAGCCCCATTCGAAAGCGTCCGCGTCAAGCACAGACCAGAAGCTATATTCGTTGGCGGTAACATGGGAAAACAGAAACAAGAGGCGGTTGTTCAGGCAGACATATACCGTCTGGTAATAAGAGCACTTCGAGTTCGATTCTCGGCTACTGCACATTTGCATAAACTCCTTACAACAGCCAGCGATAAAATGAGGCACTAATGAGCTGAATAACTGCAATTCCATGTCTAGCAGAGAACACAACTTTTCAGGCGAAGGGACACAACATGACATCTACCGGAACAACGCGCTGAACGGACCACGCCAAAACAAAAACCAAAGCCTCAAAATCTCCACACGGCTCGTGGCAAACGTGCATGGTAAAATGCTGTTATTCACATCTAGCCTCAACATATCTGACACGGAAGCCACGTGATTCACAGAAAACCAGATTGTATTTAAATGACGCGCAGAACATAGTGACAAAATGTCCGCAACGCGGCCACAACATTCCAATTCAATGACATTTTCGTCAGCTCTAAACCATTTTTAGGTTCTTTAAAGCAACACCTGCAAAAAGCCGAAACGGAAACCTCTGCGCCTAAAGCAGCCACAGCTCGAACCATTATGGCACGAGCCGTCAAACCTCTCCACCTAAAGCAGCCACAGCTCGAGCCATTATGGCACGAGCCGTCAAACCTCTCCGCCTAAAGCAGCCACAGCCCGAGCCATTATGGCACCAGCCGTCAAACCTCTCCGCCTAAAGCAGCCACGGCTCGAGCCATTATGGCACGAGCCGTCAAACCTCCGGTCGTTCAAACACGTCAAGGTTGGAATTCTCGCCCACTGCCGCCAATGCGCAAACAAGATCAAGCCGGCGAGTTACTTCCCCTCTCGTACCGTTTCGATTATACGCTCCTCACGCTTGGGATGGAGGCCAAGTGTCGACACATTACGCAAGCACGTGGTTCGATCCCGAGGGTATTTTGCTCGGCGTAGTTGGGGCACCAAACGATAACAAATCATTCAAGAGGACCCGGGAACAGTGACATGCCAGAAAGGACGCCGCCTGATTGACACACGTGCCACTGGCTCACGCATGCTACCGTTATCATCCACGTCTATTGCCCGGCGGCCAAAACTTTGCATGGAGGATGCCGCCTGATTGACACACGTGCCACTGGCTCACGCATGCTACCGTTCTCATCCACGTCTATTACCCGACGACAAAAACTTTACATGTGTATCTACACAACTCTGCCCCTTGATTTATTTCTGACCGAGACAAAATTGCCGCCAACACAGCCTAATTAAGCACCAGTTGCCAATGGAACGATTCGAAAGTACACGTATGGTGTACCCAAAGCAGGTGAAGCACATCGAAAGGGCTGCTTAAGGACGCGGTTGCACAAAAATATCTGGCATCAAAATATGGTAGGCAAGCACAATTTGGGACTCCATTCGGAGTCTGAGGGAAGCCAGTACCACACCACGGGCACCACTACTCACTCTTAACAGATCTCTTCTGCGCTGTAATGAGAGGTCATGCTCAGTTGAAAAGATCGAGCTCTCGTGCGGAGTTTGAGACAGTCAGAAGACGCTGGGACAAGTTACGCGAGCGGGGGGCGGTGAGGGAGGCGGCAAACACGAACCACAACAGACAAAACTCACGCTTCTAAAAGCAAAAGCAACACGCCATCAAAATCCTAAAAATGACAGAGGTTAGAAGAGTATCATGTATCAAGAGACTATAACCGTACTGCATGTGGGCAACGACCCCTAACTAACTGCAGCCAGCGAGATTGATAGCTCCGTTTCGGCCTGTTAAAAGCTGAAGCTGTTGATCACGAACCAATGTGACGCCACATCCTCTCAGTATAAAATTACGGTGCCAAAATTATCAATCTCAGTTTGAATCATCAAAACATTGTGCTGCTTTATACTCGTATGGAGATAGGCTACAGACAGAGCTTCAGACAACAGAATACCGAGGGCACCCGCTAAAGATGAGGGCTGCAGCGCACCTCATAACAGGCCGCGCGCGGGCTATAAATCCGTCGTTTTGACCACATTTGACCTGTGCACGTATCAAGACTGCCATCACCTTTCAGCGACCTCCCGACCATCCAGCGCCGCCCTGGCAAAGGCAGCTACGCGGAATGGGTCGCCCCCGCACCGCGCCAGGCGTGCGGCGGACAGCACAGCACCAGCCAGCACACCGCGCCACACAGGTACCACACGGACGAAGGCGGCGCAGCAGGCTGACCGCGGCGCAGAACACGGGCACACACCGCGCCGCGCCGCATGACGCTCGCAGGCCCGGCCACAAAACTGAGAGCAGGGGCATAGAGCTGGAGCTCGAGTGATGTCTAGGTGACTACCGATTGGCACCCCGGCTGCAGTAGCCGTCGCCGAATCAAGCATGGATTCGAACGGCAGGAACTCGGGCGGCGCGACGATGCGACCCTGCGCCGCCGTGCTGCTGCCGGAGAGCCTGCTGCGCGCCGACGTCTAGCCCGGTCAAACCCTCTCTGTCTGGGACCTGTCTGCGCCGGCCGTCCTCGGCGACGCCGCGGCCGGCGAGCGCTAGGACGCCGCGCCGTCGGCCCTCCGGCGGAGACGCGGACCGGGCGGGGCAGCGGAGCAGAGGTGCTCAGAGAGAGAGCCTAGCTGACTCCTGAACATCCCTCAACTGACTCTGACTCCTGACTCCTAGTCTGGCGTAGCGGGGATCGTTTGCTGACAGAGGCCTCCGGCAGGTGTGATGACTCGTGCAATTACTGAACTGTGCCCATGAAAATGGCCCGACGGGAACTTGCGACAAAAGCTGCATCATGGCTCTTATGATATAGGCACCTTTGGGCACGGCACCCTGGTCCTTACGCCAGCAGCCAATGTTAAACAAATGTCAGAAATAGTAACTAACACGATGACCATGCACAGTGCCAAGACCCCCATGCCGTTTTTGGCGCACTGACTCGATCTGGTGATTACGGCAGCAGGGTCCAAAGATTCTCTGGACGGCACCTATGTGCGCGTCTTGAAAATATAAAATATCATGCAGCATCACAGAACATAAGCCTCTCCATATTTCCTGGGCTAAAGAGCCATCAAGTTGGAACATTGGAACGTTGTCTGCATTAACAATTTGTTGATCACAAGTCATCTTAACCTCCTCGACCGATCGCAGCCGAACATCGCATAAACACGCATACGATCGCACTTTCCTCTTGGTCTGCTCGGTTATGATGCATCCGGCATAGAACGAATCATCGACTGTTTCTAATCTTTTAAGCATCCGCCATTAAATAGCATTCAAAAACCGCTACAACCACCGCCAGAACAAGCGAGACCCTGCCACCAAACGCACCTGCACGATTTCCGTAAGAAGCCCCTGGTTACGGCATGTTAGTGGATACGCGGATGACGGAGTTAAGCGCCCGTACCCTCTACCAAACCACCTGAACGTGAGTGACCAGCCCACCCTGACCTGACCTGACCTAGCCGGGCGTTACGCACCCCTGACCGGCCCGACCCGGTCCTGCCGCGCCCACCGCCGCGCCAGCCCGCGTCCCAACAAGAGACAGGCAGCGAAGAGGCGAGAGCGCAAGAGATAGATAGAGAGGCAGACAGCTCGAGCATGAGAGGGAGAGTTTGACCTGGCTGACCTTCAGGGTGGTGCCCGCCAACCTGGATGGTGATGCCCGCGTCCTCCTCCTCCTCCTCGTGCATGGTGGACAGGCGCGTCGCCGTCGGGTCCTCAATGCTCTGCTCCCGCTTGCCGTTTTTGTGGCGGCGATGGCTGCGGCGGGAGCGCGCACGTAAGGGCACGGCCGTGGTGGCACGGGAAGGCGTGAGAAGACGGCACGAGGACACGGCCGTGGTGGCACGGGAAGGCGTGAGAAGACGGCACGAGGACACGGCCGTGGTGGCACGGGAACGCGTGAGAGGACGGCACGAGGACACGGCCGTGGTGGCACGGGAACGCGTGAGAGGACGGCACGAGGACACGGCCGTGGTGGCACGGGAACGCGTGAGAGGACGGCACGAGGACACGGCCGTGGTGGCACGGGAACGCGTGAGAGGACGACACGAGGACACGGCCGTGGTGGCACGGGAACGCGTGAGAGGACGGCACGAGGACACGGCCGTGGTGGCACGGGAACGCGTGAGAGGACGGCACGAGGACACGGCCGTGGTGGCACGGGAACGCGTGAGAGGACGGCACGAGGACACGCGGCCGCTGCGGCCGCTACAGCAGCGGCGGCAGCGCAGGCAATACGAGAGAAGGTCACGGTGCGACCACAGCAGCAAGACAGGAGGCGGCGAGTACGGCGGCGGGGGAAAAAGGGTTCCGGTTTGGGGAAAACTGAGCATGGAAGCAAGGCGCCACTACATCCTGTCACATAACCGCTGCAATGACATTACACAGTGAAGCCTTTGCGTTTACTAACTCCCTTTTCCTAACTGGCTGAAACTACGGGAGATTTGCACGACCGCGGGGTTTAATGACACTCGAAACGACTCGACGGGCCCGAGCACCGCCCGCCTCCGAGCCCCCAGCGCGCACGCCCCCCTAACCTGCGGTGTTTTCGCTCCTCCTTGCGCCCGTCCTCGCCGACGGGCTTGCCGTCAGCGTCGCGCGGCTTGGGCTGCTTGTTCTCCTTGTTAATGCCGAGCCAGATGCCGGAGCGGTTGACCTCCTCCGAGATGTTGACGCTGTCCAGCGGGATCCGCATGACGTTGCCACTGGCCAGAGGGATGGTCAGGTTGCCGGACTCGTTGATGGGCAGCTTGCCGCACTCCTGCTGTGGACACAGGAACGCCGCCCAGTGAGACGCAGAAGGCCGGAGACAGAACTAAACACAGAGCTAGTGCGCAAGCGGTGTTCTGGTGGCAGCCGACTGGCCGCCTGGTGGGCGGGATCAGACGATGCCGGTAGCTGAGGGGGTGGGGTAAAAGGATAAGGTGATGGGGTGAGGTGAGAGGGTAAGGTGATGGGGTGAGGTGAGAGGGTAAGGTGATGGGGTGAGGTGAAGGGTAAGGTGGTGGGGTGAGGTGAGAGGGTAAGGTGATGGGGTGAGGTGAAAGGGTAAGGTGATGGGGTGAGGTGAGAGGGTAAGGTGATGGGGTGAGGTGAAAGGGTAAGGTGATGGGGTGAGGTGAGAGGGTAAGGTGATGGGGTGAGGTGAAAGGGTAAGGTGATGGGGTGAGGTGAGAGGGTAAGGTGATGGGGTGAGGTGAAAGGGTAAGGTGATGGGGTGAGGTGAGAGAGTAAGGTGATGGGATGAGGCGAGAGTGTGGGGTGAATGGAATGCGCGTTGCTGGGCATGCGGTGGTAGGTGAATAGTTGCCATGGAATGGGGCAAAAAATGGGCGACAGGGAGCAGAGGTGGTTCGAGGGAGTGACAAGTAGAGGTGAAAGGACTGATCACGTGATGCAGAGTGAGCTGTGCCAGTCAGCAATGAGGAAGCGGACAAAAGGAGGTTTCAGGGGCTGCACACACGGAATGAAGGGCCTGTGCGGAACGGCAGGTGCGAAAGGCAAACGCGAAAGCGCTAGTTGAGTTGCTAAGTGCGAGCGCTGGTTGTTGGCTCACTAGCCGACGCGCTGTGATTAGATATGTAGCAGGTCAACAGTATTTGGGTGACTCCCGACGTAGGCGTCCAATAATTGTCACAGAATATATAATTGTTCATCGCATGAAACAAAGGAAAGCTTGACAAAATATCAACCCAAGCCCATAACTCATTGAGAGGAAGCCGTCTTAAGTGCACTCGGTAACAGCGCCAGTCCGGAAGCCAGCTTTTGACCACAGCACAAAGCAAGCTTTTGCTTCGACAAATCAAATATCGCTTACAAACCAGCATCCAGCCGAAGGGAGCCGGAAGGGCCGGCAGACAGACCGCAAGAGAGACAAAGGAGCTCACCAAGTCGCATTCCCCAAATCACGCCCAAACCATACCTTGTTCCCCAGTTATTTTCCCCCCTGACAATCTTTTGAGAGACATGCCGACTGACACTCAAGTTCTTGGTTCTCATACTGCGTGTGCACGCGATAGCTCCGTCACAAAGCGTACTGCGCACCGGCGGGAGAAGTGATGGTGCAGCACGCGCACGCACACTCGCACGCAGATTGGCATAGTGGTGTTGCGGCAAGTGCATGCCGTGATAGTGGGCATCCACCGAGCCGACCAAGCAAATGCCGGAGGACAACAAATTTAGCCCAGTGCAACGGAGCGGAGAATGGCACCAGGCGCACTGTGACGTCATTCCTTCGTCCGGATGCAAACTAAACTGTGCAGTGGGGATTCATTCAACTGTGTCGACTGAAACGACCCGCAAAGGTTTAAGACTCGCACAACACGAGGGGTGTATTTTCCCATGGACTTAAGACTTCTTACCCACCCAAAACCATGCACAACCAAAGCTTTGGGCGTCGTTCGATCCGAACTGCTTCAACAACTCCACGACCTCGCGTCCAAGCGGGCTCAAACGCATGCAACGGGCCCGTCTCATGCACAGCGCGGGTATCATGCTCTCAGACGTCACATCTAGCACACGAGCTCTGCACACCTGAACGCCCACCGTCACCTCCATCAACGCCTGCTGAAACGGCACAGACGGTGTCAGCGGCGCAACACACGCCGAGCACGGCCGAGTCGCAGCCCGTTACGGCAGTCGTGCAAGGACGTAGCCGAGTCAACTAGCGCCACTGAAAGGGGGCGGATCCGGGGGGACGGATCTGGGGGGACGGATCCAGGGGGGGGGGGCGGATCCGAGGGCAGGTTCCGGGGGGGGGGACGGATCTGGATGGCGGTCTGTAGTGGACACTTACCAAAGAACAGATAGTGACGGGTTGCCTGGTAGCATATCTGAGCTAAAGCACTGGCAGAGCCAGGTTTTTCATGGGCTCCTGGCTCAGTTGAGAGTGATAACGTTGGATCAGGTTTACTTAACTTTTCAACTTCACGCCACCGTAGCATTTTAACTTACCCAAATTGTCTAACGACAGCGGCGCACAGTCAAACTAAACCCTACATCGTATCAGAGGTTGGCTTGCGCACATTGTCAGCACAAAGTCGCCATCGTCCTTCGTCGCTGATGGTGCGGATGTCAGCCCCGACCCGGAAGCGTCAGCCCGTTCGCCAGCCAGCTGGCGCAGCCTGAGGCCGCTTCCCAGGCGGATCAGCACCGCCGGCGCGCTGCTAAAAGCACAGCTCACCCCTGACCGTTAGGCGCGTCTCGGAACAGCGGTAAGCCCGTGCCGAGTCCATTAAACCATTACCGGCCGGGCGACGCGACAAATCGGCGCCCTCGGGACCTGCGCCTAAGCACCGCCCGGCGCCTTGTCCGACACAGCCGGCGCGTACGGCCGCGCGGCGGACGCCGCCGCCGCCGCCGCCCGCAAAAACGCGCCCCGGCCGCCGACAATGGCCCGCCGCGTGCGGCGACAATGGCCGCGATGCTGCACACCGATGCGATGCAAATGCGATTGTGGCGCCATCTGCGCGCGCGCGCGGGCGCCGGCGCCGGGTAACGGTGCCGGACGCGCGACACCGGTACGACACGGGCCGACACGGGACCCCACTTAGGGCAATGAGCGCGGCGCGGTGCGGCCGCCGGACGCGGCGCGTCGGCGCGCGGGCGGGGCGGCGCTGGCGACGCACCGTTTTGTCGCGGTGGGCGGCGACAGGTCCGCGGACACGCCGCGCCTCAGCCGATGGATCGCAGGGCGCCGCAGTCGATCGCGGAGCCGACGGGCGCGCCGCGATCGTGCGAACGTTCGGCGGTTCTGCACGCTGTCGTGCGATTAGCATTTGAGCTGAAGCCGTTCGATGAATAACGCATCAGTGACGGGGGCTGACAGACCGGCGGGTGCGCTCAGTGATGCGGTGAGCCGTGGGAACGGAGTCGGGATGATGCCTGTGACGATTACGGAAACGTTCCGAGAAGACAGAGGCGCTCCACGCATCGCAACTCTCATAAGGAGCAGAGAAGTCGTTTAACTCATATAAAAGCATCACCGCAAGCCAACCAGGGGAGCGAGAGATTACCAGGATTGCCAGGATCACGTGAAGAATTATGACGACAACCACAGCGTTGAGCGCTTTCGTTCCAAGAAGGCATGACCGCACATACGGCGCACTGCGGCGATGCCCCCATGACATTTAAATATCGTACCCACGTAAAAGTGGGCACAGAAAATGACATCGTTAGCTAAATGTGAACAGGTTGACAGAGTTTGGAGACGGCGCGGCCTTCACGTCAATGTCCCGAAGTTAACGATAACTCATTTCCATTTCATAACCGGTTAATTATGCCTAGTATTATAAATGTAACCGGTATAACAGGTTAAACAATAACCTGTCGCGGTGCAAATGACTTTGCAGCACACAGTGCACGTATAGTTCGTGTACTATGACGCAAGGAAGGCGGATTACAATCAGAGAGCGCTAGTTCAGCACCGGTACGGACCATAACAATCCCGAAAAGCCCGCTGAATCAGGATCTATTAATCTTAACGAAAAGAGAAACGCGCAGGGCGCGGGAACTAGGACGACTACGTAGGCTGAGACTTCAACTCTCATAGAGTCAACACTGACCGTGCGGGTATTGAATGGAAATAAATAGCCAAAACATTTTACCCCCCAGCATCATGGGAGAGCCTTCCGATGTCTCTGGCAGCGCATTGCGCTTTTCTACAACACGTGCGCATTCGTGCACAACCCACAGATACCTGACACTGAGAGGCATTCAGGCCGTTGTGAAGACCTAATTAAACCAACACATTTTCTTTTGCTGCACCCTTGGACAAACTCAGCACAAATACGCGAACGAATAGTCCACTTTTAACGTCAACATCAGTTTCGGGTCCATTTTCTCCGCGACAGCCCTGTCCTACGATCACTTCCTGTCGCCCTGGTAACCACCAGAGCCGAATCGGACGAGCGTCCCTCGCCCTGCCCCTTCCCGAAGCGACCTCTCACCTGCTCTTCCTCCCTCCAATCGCTCTCCTCCTGCTTCTTTTTGCGCGTGAACTCGGGCATGGCGTCGTCCAGCACCCGCAGCTCGCCCGACGTGAACAGCCGCTCCAGCAGCTTCCGGATGCCGACCATCACCACCAGCTGCCGGAGGCGGCGGGCGTCACCCTCTGCCGCACGCTCGACGGCACCGGCAGCGGCCGCCGGACGCGCCGTCAAGTGGCAGAGCGCGCCGGCTGGAGCGACCAGCGCGCGCAGCGTGACGGCGCCGGCGGCTTCCGGGGCGGCGATCTCACGCACCAGGCCCGGCGGCGGCCATGGCTGCGCCGGGCGTCATCGAAAGCTCGCTCGTTTTACGGCCGTGAAACCAGACCTAGTGGCTGACAACATTGGCGCGACGGGTACGATTCGAAGACTCGTGAGACATTTGTCGACGAAATTAGCTAAAATAATCCAGTAAACAAGTCCGCATTTGTGTGGCGCGCTGCAGCCAGCCCACACTCACCATAATCGGGAACAGAATTGATGTGTACGAAATGGACTTGATGACCCAGAGCACCACGAGGCACAGCAGCTGTATAAAGGTGAACAGATGGACCCGCTTCAGAGGTACCTGGAGTCAGCATGGAAATGTAGGTTGAGCAGCACATAACGCCAAAAGGAAGGACAACCGACGTCATATGGCAGCACAGTCACGGAGCGATCGCCAGCCTGGCTTAAATACGGAATGATTGCTCTTTTCGTCCAGCTACCAATTTAGGTGGCCAAAGAGGTTACTTTAAATTCGAAACTGACCGCGATGTACGGCATCGGACAACATCATAACGCCATCACAGCACCCACTCGCAGGTGTAAACAGAATATGATGTCGACCAACTAAGAAGAAAAAAAACTCACGAGCCGCGGGCTGGACAGCCCTAGAATCAACAGCAATCTCACACCCAACAGCTGTACCCTGTAAACGCAAACCTTCCTGGACGCGTCTCACCTGTCGCAAGAACGTGTAGTCCGGCTGGTACTTGACCGGCATGAACATGATCAGAATGCGGTCGAAGAACTGCAGGCCCTTCAGTGCGCTGACGCCCATGTAGAGGAACACGCCGAACAGCACCGGCATGGGGATCAGCTTGAGCAACGGCGTCATCAGCACGGACAGGCCGATGGTGATGAAGATCAGCACGTGCGTCACCCGGTTCTCCCTGCGGAAGCCAACAAGTGTCAGTACCTGTTCCATTGGCAAAGGTTATCAGAACGCGAGTCTCGAAATATTTAGTTTTTAGGATTTTTTATCAGTATTTTTTCCATGAAATACCATAGCTACGGCGCCCCAAAATTGCCATACGCCCAGTGTCGAGCATACAGAGGTCGAAACCTAAGCAAGGTCGTGGGGATGGGAGATGTCGAGCAGAGGGGGTGTCGGGAGCCCTAGGGGTGGAAGAGAATAGTCCCGGGACCAAAGGTACAGCTTATGGAGTAAATAAGCCAGACTGGGTACGAGACGACACATTGTCTTTGATGGCGTTCAGACGGCTGGATGGTCGCTTTCACGTATTCTCCTCCCGAACTGTTTTCTTGCGTTCGGGCATGCGGCTGAGCATTCCCTCTGAGCAAGGCGATCCACAATGCCAAGCGACGTATATGAAAAACGGTGGAATGTGTGTGTAGGAGGGGGCAGACGGGGGGGAGGGGGGGGGGGGCAGGGAATGGCGTGATAAGAACCCTCATGATGCGAAGGAACTGCAGCTTGACCCACCTGACGCCGAGGAACTGCGACTTGACCCACCTAACGCCGAGGAACTGCAGCTTGACCCACCTAACGCCGAGGAACTGCATTGGCAGTCAAGCTGCAGGAACTGCAGCTTGACCCACCTGACGCCGAGGAACTGTGGCTTGACCCACCTGACGCCGAGGAACTGCGGCTTGACCCACCTGACGCCGAGGAACTGCGGCTTCTCGCCGGGAGCGGCGCACTCCGACTCCAGCTTGAGCGAGTTGACGTGGTTGATGGCCAGCACAGTGGCTGCCACAAACCAGGGCAGGCCCAGAATCGAATTGATGGCGACCAGGATAGCCAGCACAAACAGGTCGAGGTGGTAGCCGCCGCCCTTCTGCGGAAGGACAGCGCGGCCGGTCAGTCCAAGAGTCACAAGGTCACTGGCCAGTGGGGCGTTGGGACGTTGACCAGGGGCGCGAGGGGTCTGAACCTATCAAGATATCATTCCCATGACAAACGAACGAAGAGAAAACTGCGATCTCTAAGCCAGTTCCACAACCGCAAGCAATGCCAGCAGAGTAAAATGGCCGTTTGTGTTGCGTGAGCACCCTTCACAGTGCCGGTGCTCTATGTCGTGAATTCTGCGACGCGCTGCTGTTAAACCAGCAGTGTACCGCCGTTCTTCAGAGATCATGATAACACCAAGACAGTGCAGCAAAAGATCGCAGCAATAGCGTGTTTAGCTGAAATGCTGCAGCATGGAAAGAAAGCAGCTGACAAAAAGGAATCCATTTCACATGGATTGTCATGCGCCGTCGGAACTTTTAGCACCGGAACCTGTCGGATAATTCGCTGATGGGCACAACGGGTCCCACCTCGTTTATATCTCGTTGCCTTTCTGGGTGTGTATGCAGATATCATTTACATCAAGTTGTAGTCGTACCGCGTTGATTTACAGCGATTTCAGATACGTGCAAAAAGGGTTAATTTCCGTGCTTAATGCCCATTCCGTTTGCCAGGACAAGGCTGGGTGTTGTTTACCAGCGTGGCGCGACGGCTCTCCGCATCATGCAACTGCAACTACGTCAGCCCAGAACGGTACGCTGTGCGTCCGTGGCCATGAGCCAATATGCCTTCCAAGCCATTCGAAAATCGTTAGGCTTTATGACGTCCAGAGCGGCGTAAGCGTTTGAACCTATGCTTTACTATGCGCGGCAAGTTTAACAACGTGATGGGCGTGGTGCCAAATGCACCTTTCTGGCAGTTCATCGGAGCTTCCTAACACCCAAAACTCATGATCAATTGACCATTTTGCGTTCCTTCCGGCACAAAACAAATCCACGCCACATTTCGAAGCGTTCCCAACGCACTTAAGATTCAGCCACTAACACACCCCACCACTGAGCACTCGAACCACCTCAGCGCTCTGCAGCAGACCCCCTGCACCCTCATCCCTCCCCCTCCACGACCCCCAGCGCCTGCCGGCGGCGACCACCGACCTTCAGTTTGTGCTCCTTGCGGTTGACTATGACGGCCGTGATCTGCTGGTCCATGAAGACGAGGATGACGCCGAGCAACGCCGGCACGATGGCCGCCAGCGCAGTCCACCAGGCGTTGCCGTTGAAGAAGGGGATGAGCCAGCCGCGCCCCTCCCACGTCGGCTCGAACTTTTCCGGCACCGACAGCTTGGGCGTCTCAATGCCGGAGAAGAAGTCGACTGTCGTCATCAGCACGATGGCGATGATGACGCCGAAGTCGCTGATGAACGCGCGGACCTGCGGAGAGCGAGGTTGACGTGTTGTTACGCACCCACGCACGTGCTACTGAGAAAAGCGGGTGGGTTGGTAGCTCGTGGGAGCCAGTGAGGGAGGCAAAACCAATGACGTCTGAATGAAGAAAGTTACAGGCATTGATGCAATCACCCCGTAAGTGTTACAGGAGTTCGTATTTGTTTCACTGGCATTTTGTATGATCAAAACACAAAGAAAGTCCACTCTGCCCAAAAGCCAGTGGGATCCAGACCTCAATAACCTCAGTAGTTGTTACATCCATGGTCACAAGTGCTTCCCCCAAATTTTCCAGAGATCATGCAGGTTCTGTAAAAACGATAGGAGCTGGGAGCATCTCAGCTGTCGAAATGCTCACTACGCGAAATCATCGTAATCCGCTCTTCCCTGTACATGAGTTGCAACAAATACATAGTTTAATCCATCATAAACCAAATCGATGTCTGAAGTGGACGTCCATGGAATAAATTGGCAACGGGCAGAGACATCGGGCAGCCTGGCAGGCGATCTCGGCCGTCGGCGGGGGCAGAGCCTCTCCCGAACACAAGCAGAGCGCACTCTCTCCGCATCGCCACTGCCACCCACCCTGGTTGGGAAGAACGAGGATGCCTTGAAGTCCTTGAGGTTGATGGCGAGCAGGAAGGTGCAGATGAAGAGCAGGATGGACATGAGGAACACGTCGGAGCAGCCGTGCGTCGCCGCGTTCAGAGGGTGCTCCTCGTCGTGAAGCCCCGGACACTCGGTGCCGTTCAGCGTGCCGTTGTACGTCTGTGGAGAGACGCGGCGCTTAGTAGCAGGGTAGATGGCGCCACACAGAGCAACGCGACCCGGGCAGGCACAACAGCAGCCGCAAGAAAAACGTTCCGGCACCCATGGTTTTGTTGCGGTATTGCGCACATTCAGGAAGACCTCCCAAGTATCCTGGCCACCCGGGACAAACATACACTGATATCTGTACCATAACAGCAGAAAATTCAAAGTAGGAAATTAGTTCAATTTAAAAAAGTCTCATTGCCATTCTCTTGGTGTGAGCAACGGTGGGGGGCGGGGGGGGGGACGGAGGAAGGGTCTCGACCATCCACCTTGGACGTTCAACATTCAAGCTTTTGGCAACGCACAGAAATCACGAACCCTGAAAGGAGCTAAAGCTCGACGCTTTGGAACGTGCCGACGCCTTCGGCAGTCTGTGCAAGAAATCCAGCCGCAGCGTTTC